TTGCCAACTAATTATTTAGTAGTTTTTTAAAAACTTTTTTTAAATTTACTTTCATGTACGTCGATAGTACATTAAACAAACGTTCGTTATTCGAACATGAACAATTAATTGATTTGGCGAGTAATTATTGCAAGGCCTAAAAGATGAGATAAATTCTATACGAATTTATAGTTGCAAAATACTATGTTTGTTATTTAGAACGTCACTTATAGTTTCATTGCGATTGATTTTTTGAAATACAAAAACCGATAAACTCATGAACTTAAATTTGACGATTAAAAATGATAAATTACACAGAAATTTAATCTGCCCTTTCTCGTAAAAAAAAAAAAAAATACAGCGATTTAAATACATTAATGATTTGTTTGGGTTCAAATATTTAGTGGGGAATCATTGTATTCAAAGCATGCCCTTTTAAATATATAGGTACAGCAACAACTTTGTTGAATCGTCGTATAGCATTCATAGTTTATTATTCATTAATGTTCTTCAAATATTAATAATACTATAACTATATTACTATACAGAAGAGACTATTATTATAGGTCAGTGGTACATTTAACGTAAGTAGACAAATGTGCGATGAACGTTAAAACAATATTGAATAATGTAACTGTATTTAGAATAAATTAAATTTTAAAAAAATCAAGATTTTTTTTTTGTAGTAGGGATATTTTAAAGCGAATGGTCAAAAAAAAATTATACTATAGGGATGGGAAAAAGTTATGAATAACACTACACCAGTGCAGTATGTTAGGAAAAACCTACAAACATACAACTTTTCTATCGTACAATATTAAACCATTATTTTATCATATTATATTATTTGATTTCATAATTATAATGTAATTTGCACTTAAACGTATTTTTATTTTCAATTTGTGTCTATATCATTTAATATTATAATCACAAATGCGTTAATCGTAAATTTGCAAAACTATGATCCCAGTATAATTTTAGAAGATTCTCGTTTTGGTGACGTTCAATCCAGTTCTATGGTATTTTAAATACATTTATTAAAACCGGATAAAAGCGTCTTTGAACGAAAATAAGTTCTCGACATTTCGTAAAGATTTATTATATCGGTGGAATATTGTAAAATTTACAAGAGGAAAAAATTATTAATTTTAACGGGAAGTGCGCGTGACAAAAACAGAGTATCTTTCGGTTGTGAAACTGTATAATACTAGACGGACACCGGAAGCCTGCGTGTAGAGGAAAAGTCACTTACAACGAAAAAAATGTCAACACTATGTACTATAATATATCACTAAAAATATATTTGACTCGTTTATCGATTAGCTGCAGTAGTATTACCGGACGTTTAGTATAAAATGCGACACCACGTCGGTTGGAATGGTTTTAAAATTACTTTTTACATTCGCTAAATACATAAAGATAAATCAACAGTTTTAATGAATTGTATTATGAATACGCATGCTTATATTAACGAAATCTGATTAGATAAAATGTTATCTACTAAATAGTGACATGCATCTTATGTACGCCTTTTTTTGTTCAGGTTATCATTTTCTAATATAAACTGAGGTTTGAAAATTAATTCGAATCACGAGTAAATGAATTCCGGCTTCGAAAATATTTGTGTTTGCAAAAACTATAAATAACTTCTTTTTTACCTAAGGATAATAAAATTAATGTTATTTTATTAACTAAATAAATTTGATAAAATATTCTAAAACCAACCATTTGACTTTGTTTTTAATAATATAAACAAGTAAACGATAATATAGGATTCAGTTAATACTTATACAAATTGATTAAATGAACTAAGACGGAAATGCATACAAACTTAGCGCAAGCACGACGACGAATCAGTGCGGCACAGAAAATTTCGATTACAGAAATCCAATTGCGATAACCGACACAATTAAAAAAAAAAGGTAATGAATGTCAATATTTGATTTAAACAGAGTTAATGAATTACTATAAAAATCGTTTACAGAATACCAAAGTTAATTTAATACAAATAGAATATTGTACACAAATATATAACACATTATTACAAATACGCCTCAGTAATTTAAGAACGGCTCTAGAAAAATAATTTGTTCTTAATATAATATAAAATAAAAATCATATAAACGAAACAAAATAGAAAAAAAACATTTTTTTTTTTCTTGCTTTTAGTTCTGAGCGCAGAGAGGAATGTATTGGTTTCGCTATAATGTGTTATATTTTTTTTTTTATTTTTGTCTGTGAACAATTTCTTGCTTCGTTTTTCAAGTGTATCATCTTTTCTAATATAAAATGTTGTTTAGTCGACAAATATAGAGGTCATATTTTGATTTCCTGTGTAGTTAAGAAATTAGTATGACAGGGAAAGTTTACGGAATTATAATGGTTTCATTGTTTACACTTTTGTTTTTGTTTTTTTTTTTTTTTGCAATTTATCACATCAATCGTTCCAAAGTGAGGTAAATTTTTCAATGCACTTTCAGGTATTTTTAGGTGTTTAACATTTTTATAATAATAATACCATAATAATATAGTTATAATAATTGTTATAGTAATTGCTCAGATAGAACAAAAAACCACATCATAGTAAAACAAATACTCATACATTCCTACAACCTACGCTCAGAATCGAAACAAGATAATAATGTCAACAATAATAATTGTTAAAAAATGAGCCATTTATCCCTATCCCTCCTTTGACGAAATCATTTAACCGCCACTGTATCTAAGTGTATTTTTACTTTTATTTATAAATTATTAGTGTCTTTGTGGGCTTGTAATATTATAATGGCATTGTTTTAAGCTAAAATAATTGAATTAAGAACTAAAGAAATTTATATTGCAAAAAGTTTGAATTTGCGATGTGGCGTAATGTAATGTACTTTTCGCAGGTCCTTGCGTAAACGAGACGGGTGGATCTGGGTTTAATATCCCCCATATTGCCTTTCTCTTTTTTTTTTGCTTGCTTCTATAGGTCATTGACAGTTATTGGGCTTATCGAATTAAAAGCAAGTTTACTTCTACAAGACTCCTGAAGTAATCGTTATTATGGATATTTTTATTCTCCATTCCACATACATCTAAAGAACATATAAATTGCAAATGGAAAATAGCACTGCCCGCCTCCCACACCACTTTCAACGTGGATTCGAAAAAAAAATGATTTTTTTAAAAATGTTGATAGAGAACATCAATATCGAATAATATATTTTTTATGAGATATAACGTGTTCAAATTTAGGGAATGATAATAATAATTTCATATCGTATTTTTTAAATAATAAATCGATAAAATTACGTCCTCGGGTCCAAATTTTAAACCGTTATAGCCTAATAAATGATTTAGGACGAATATAAGGAAAAATTTCGGAGGAGAGAGGATATTGCTCATAATTCTTTCGAAATATATTACGCGCTAAAAGGGTTACGGTGGAATACACTTCTGTGCCTAAACATATGGAATTTATTTAAATGCCTGTAAAAATATTATTTTCCGATTTGCCGAACGGTCGATGACTTTATTAATGTAGTGGGTACCTAAAACCTATTTAAGTATACATCAACATCAGTTACAATAAATTAATAATGACTTAATAGCGTCTTGTTGTACAGGCTGTTTTTTTTTTTTATCATGGTCCGGCAATTTTCTCGGAGGATTTTAAGTGAACTTGATTTCTATTTTTTTTTCTTTTTTATCATTATGGACATTCGGATAAGCTTTATTTTAAACCAGTTTTTAATATTTTTTACCTTTACTCCATGTACCTGAAATACGTATATACCTTTGTTTTTCAAATAGAAACTCCCCGTTTTTAAAACAGATTTGGATAGAGGATATTTTTTTTAGAAATTTTGATATGCATAATACTAATATCAGATTCGATTAAAATCTTCCAAGATAATTTCTGGTTCATAATAATAAAAAAAAATCACTGTATATTACGCAATGTATTGTCACCTAGTGCAATAGTGTTTCGTCATGTCCGTTTAACGCGAAACGGTTTTTACAGCTAATGATTATCCTGATTTTGAACAAGATTTTGATACGAACCATATTATCATGTTACTCAAACCAATATAATATTAAATATAGTAAAATAGTTTACGCATAATTTCGTGGTGGGAAAATCGATAATTTGAGTTGTGTTAAAATTAAATTATTCCCGTACATAATGTATAATACATGTTTAGTGTATATACATAAATAAGTAACAGGCAACAGAGAGAATGCAGCTGCTTCAAACACGCGGATTCTTGCTCTCCCTATAAATTTATAATTTTTTATAGGTAATCAATAATTATAGCGTGCGCGCGTGTTTGACTAGTAGAAAATAATATCGAAAATCCGTATTCATGACTTTTAGATTTTGAGCTAAGTGTTTACTATCACGTGTTTTATAATTTTGTGTCGGTAAATTACTTTTCTACCGGAAATATCGTTTAAACGAAAAACTTAACGGGTATTAATTTTGTAGAATTTTTGGTCTAGTTGGCGCACACAGGAAATTGTTTTTTGATTTTCATTGCAGATTTCTTAATCAATGAAAAAGACTGGTTACCAATGAAGGTATTATCTATTAATACCTATAATATTATTATATCTATTAATACCTTAATATTATTTAATTGGTAAGTAAAACAATATATAATATTGTATTACATTATTATAATCATAAAAACAAACACAGTTAATAATTATAAAATATTTATATTTCCATCTATATTCGTCGTAACTGGGAGGCTATTTGGAAAACTGGAGGGTATTGGATGGCCCGATCCCCCCCTAGTTGTGTGTCTATAGTAAAACCTAACATAGCCTCACTTTTTATATAATTTTTGTTGTTTTCTGAGATACCTTGGTAGTTAAGTAAAAAATACGATTAATTATAATTCGCTCGGAATTATTTTTCGTTAGCAATGTTTTATCGTCACGTACACCAAATTTAAATTAAATTACTTGGTATATATTTTATTCTTCTCTTTCATCTTCTCTCCTAAAACAATGACACACCCTCAGCAGTATCACTTATTTTAATGAACGTTTAAAGTTCAATTTTTAAAAATGAAACATAATCGATTTCTTATGATCCGTATGAGTAATTTAACTCTTTCCCTTATATTTACACTGCTGTTTTCGACTAAAAAATCATGGAATTTAGCATACTTCTGTTTGAATTTCGTTAAACATTTATAACGAAAACCGAAATTTATTAATATCTACACACCCGTTTAAGATTTATAGTGTACAAGTTACTAGTGGTGATTGTCACCGAGAAGGTGGTCGAGAAGACCAGATACAATAAATTTGCTCGTTTCCCCTGTCTCGCAAAGTGCTCGTACTGCTATACCAAAAGCCAATACTAATACCACATACTATCCGCCTAGATCATCTTCTAGACTTCTAGAGTAAAGTGACCCTCAATGGTTTCGCCCTAACACTATAACAACTATAACACAAATTTATTTTCTATAATCATTATTATAGAAATAAATGGAATTCTTTAGGAGCTCTTTGCCAGCATGTTTTTTTTGGCTCAAAAGCATATCTTACAGAGAATGCTCTCATACTACGTAATGTGGTTCGATTTCAATGGTAATCTCTTTGTTGGAAAGACTAAGACTTTCTCCAGACCGCATCAAACTCCAATTTTCAATATTTTTTTCTCGAATTTTATAATACGTCCAAAAAACAAAACGTTTAATGGTAAATTTCTTTTTTACTAACATTTTTTTACCAATATTTGAAACCGAATGAATAATTGTGGTTTCATAAAGTCCATAGAAAGTTGTTTATCAATTGAACAAACAAAAAATTGAAAAATAATATGTTGAAAATGAGTATCTACAGTGTCCCAATCATTTCAATATCTCCTGAGATAATAAAGATAATAAAGTTCTTTTTTTTTATAACTCGTAGGAATTAAGACTACAAATATTTATAATTTGAATTATATTTTTATGTTTTGGTAAATAAAAATAAAAAATACATTTTGTATTTTATTATTTTCGACAAATTTGAAAATATCCATTTTACAGAGTTTATTTCCTGAAAATGTTAACGTTTCAGCTTTTTGTTTTCATAATATTCGAGATTTTAAATAATTTTATTTATCTTCAAATTTTTCAAAAATAATAAAATAAAAAGTTATTTTATCGTGTTTTTACGAAAACATACAAAATTAATTGAAACATATATATTTGTGGTTCTTATCCCTGTGATTTATATAAAAAGAACAGAATTTGAGTATCGTCACTATCTCCATAGATATTACAATGGGTATATCATCGTAGGACACTCTGTATATTCTTGCGAATTCATTTTCTTTCGTAAAAACGACAGTGTGCCCGTCGCCTTCTCCCTAAATGGGTATAGGACACTAGCTTAGTGGAAAAGTCTTATTTTTCTGATTTGTCCTTTAAAATGTTAAAAGACATTTTCTAATTTTTTCAAATTGAAATCTTAAGTTTAAATTTTGGGGTTGGACTATTGCAACTTTAGGATGCTAAGCCCCAAAATCCGCTTTACCTACCGTTTATTATGTACATAAGGCCCGTGGTCAAGTGTTTTTTACACGCGATTTAAAAAGACATTTTCGTTTACGTATAGGTGTAAGTATGATTACTTATATTATTTTAATGCGTAAATTGTCAACGGCAAAAATATATGTATGCCATAATAGATAATCATACGGAATAAACCGAAATCTTCCCAAACGTTTCGAAATAAAATTCTTGATTTTAGGGTTCGAACGAGTTTTTATGTATAATAACATTACAAGAGGAAACACGGGGAGCGTACATGTAAATATCATATTATATTCCATAGCTGTTTATATGCTAATGGAATGTTTTGAATTTAAAATTCTAGTGGACTACGTTTTTGCTTTCGATTTAGAACTGTCGCGTGTGAAAAAGATAAAAAGAAGAGAAAAAAAAAGGAAACCAGTCGAGACGATTTGTCTGTGATGCCGTTAAAACTATTTTACTCGTTCGCTTTGCTCTGCCGGCACGATCCCTCGACATTTTCTCTTTCGTCCGTATATATACTCACCTTTATCTATAGCGATCAAAACTTACGTTGAAACGCGTTAATTACAGATGGCGACGACGACGACGACGGGCCGTTTTGTAATAATCTCGAAACTATACATAAGGGCGAAAACGTAAAGAGGAAAGGTTGGAAATTGCCCTTTAAGACTTAATCGGGTCGGCCGAACGAACCTTTGTCTTTTTGTTTTTTAATATTCAAGCGAAATGGACTTGGAAAAAAATCCGTAGTCTGCGGAGAATATTACAAAAGAAAAAAATATTGCTGTTTTATGAACAATCAAAATGCGCGGTCTGTGCCATTGATTGATCGATGGAAATGATTCAGCTACATCCGTTCGAGTGATGCACCCTTGCGCGGAAAAATGTTCCGATGAAGTACAACAAATGGTTAATACCTACCAACTTATCTAACCTTTCGAGAAAGGAAATTTTGTAGTATTTTTTAAAATATTATTATGTTATCATCAAAACAACAAAAATCGTATTCATAAACCGTTATTCATCGTGATGTCAAAAAAAAGGTTCTCGAGGCGAATGCAAAATACCTGCAGTCCTTTTAGTCCTCTAATACTGAATCTCTGTACATGTTTTTCTCCCGGAATAAACCGTTGTTGTTCTGATACACTACCGAGGGAGATAGGAAGAACACCGAATAACGGTTTTCATTTCTAATAGGCTCGTAATAAGCTTATTAGACTATACAAATGTTGAATATTAATTGATTATTTTATTGAATTGTCCGTGCTAAAATAATAAACGTGCAACACATCTGGTGTACCGAGAAAGAAGAGCTTAAGTCGATTTTTTCCCTCGTAGTTTTCTAACGATATTTTACCCGTAATTGTCCATAATTTATCCACTATTTTCGTAATTAATTTAAAATAAAAAAAAATCTCGTAATATTTTCACATTTTAATACAATTAAAAAAACATTTTTTTTTTTTTTTTTTTATGAAATTAACTCGAACCCGTCTCCCTGCAGCGGCGATCAAATATGCATTCGTAAAGTCGTTGAGCCCTTGAAAAAGCCGGGTTAATTTGTTTTCAAATTATACGCTCGTATAGGTGCAAGGCGTAACAATTATTACCGAAAACAGTAACCACCTGTCGTCTATTATGTAAACCGTTTATAATCGAATAACGTGCCGTCGACTTCGGCGTCGCGACTCGATAAAACAAAGTTTTCGAACAACGTAATACAAAATATAGGTGGGATGTAATTGCTTTTTTAAGCGTATTGCAATTACTACTATTCATACAAACAGTATTTAAACGTACGAACCGTTGAGATTTCGTGCGAAAACAAGCTCGGAGCGATCACGTTCGTAGTGTAAAATACATCGTGCACGTTACGAATTAGAATATTTTTGGTTTCCGCGATTTCAAACAGGAATTTTCGTTATAATTTTAATTTGATTTTTTTTTTTTTTTTGTAGACGTATTATTATTTCGAAAATAATCTTCTTGAATATTATACTCGGGGGGAGGGGGGGTTCAATGATTTTCCGTAATCGTCTATTGTTTTCGAAAACGGTAGTGCGATAGTGCGGGGGCTGTGCTACAGACAAAATATGTATAAGTAGCTCATTATTATTGTTATCCGTTATTCGAAAACTTTTCTTACTTTCTCCCTTTTAACCGAAATATAAATCGGGTAATAATGAAAAAAAAAAAAAGAAAAAAAAAAAAGAGAAAATACTCACCGCGAAGACGATCGTCGCCGAGACGACGGGGAAGACGACGTGGCGGTGAAGGTCCGCAAACGGGTACGCGACGGAGCGTTCGGCGACAGGGTTGCGGGCGGCTGATGCGATTGCGAGTTGCGACGACTGACGGACGACCGTTAGCGAGCTGGCGACAGAATGCGCGCGAAACGAATGCGCGAATACGTCGGCGGCGGCGGCGGCAGCTGCGGCCAATTTACTCGAGAATCCGCGAGTGGCGCAGTAGCGGCGGCGTAAAGCTCTACTCGCCCGCCGGACGACCGGGAAACGCGCGGGCTCAACAGCCGTTACGTTGTGCCGTCATCTCGGGGATGCCGGACCCGGCGGCGCGACAACGTTCCCTACTCGAAACGGGCCGCAGACGCGGGATACGGAAAATTATCCGGCCGGCCCGCGGACGTTGCCGCGGCGTTCGGTTTCCGTTCATTACGGTTGCGTATTTATCGGCTTTTCACCCGCCCCCCACCCCTTTTTTCATCTATTCCGCGTTGAAATCTATTGACGCGATTAATTATCAATGATTTCGAATTGCCCGGGGGAAAATTTGAATTCAAAAGTGATAGAAACGCGGAATATTTGTGTGGCCAATCGTCGCCGAGCGACGAACGTACCGTAACACGTTTGACCGTGTTCCATCCGTTCGTATACCGTCCGTGTGTTAGCGTCCGCGGCTCGTTTCACGTGTGTAGGGAACGCAAATACGGTGCCCGGCGAGCGTGCGCGCCCGCGCAGACGCGTCCGTCACGGCGGCGTGGATCGCTTTATTTACCGCGCGTGCGGCGGTTACGTACGCTCGCCGCCGCCGTAACGTACGCGCCGTACGCGTAGTATACTATATAAGTGACGCCGCCACCGCCGTAGTAAACATTATCGTAAATAAACGTACGGCGGCGGCATGGCCGACCGACGGCGGGGTGGCGAAGGACGCGCGTGGACGTGGCGCCCTCGACCGCGGATTGTGCGATCGGGCCGGACGCGGGGAGTGTCGTCTTAACCCGCCGTAACCGCCGCCGCCGCCCGCATTTAATGCCCCGGGGATAGTGAACACAAACCCCCATCCCCCCCCTTCTCAAAATAACAACATTAATACGAACCCCGGGGAGAAAACGGTTTTCACGTTTAAAAGGAACGTTCGCCGGAATCTTGAGACCGCCGCCGCGGGGCTTATCGGTTCGATCGATTAGACTAGACAATAACATTACTATTATTACAACCTCCACGTATAGAACGGCATATTATAGATATAAGGTGTTTTTTTTGTTTTTTTTTTGTTTTTTTTTTGGCTTAGTATACAAACCCGTTTAGATCCTTTGCCGCAACCATCACTTCCCGCCGTCCGTCGCTCTATCCGTGGCTAGATCGTTACCGTTCAGGATTTCCAGCGTGGCCGGGTCATTATTATATGGACTCTGTCTGTCCGTATCTTTGTCTTGGACGGCCGAGCGGTCTTTTGTTCTTCGGCTTCCAGCTGGTGACCTGACCGATTGTCTGTTCTCGACTTCGCCACACATGACCTGCCCGCCATATCCTTTTACTTTTAATTGTAACTATTATGTCCGAATTCTCATGCTTATCAGTGTTTATTTCGGGCGTGCCTCCGGGGGGTTCCGTCCCTCCCCCCGGAAAATCTACCAGGCCTCCCCGGAGAAAATTTGAAGAATAGAAAAGAAATATCAAATATTAGAAAAATTTAA